TATCTATGTTTAAAATTTCGAGGTAGAAATTTGATATTTATACTACTTCTAATCATCCTAAATCATATTTTTTTGATTATAATAATAAAAATCCTTTTATATTATTAACATACCATCATTTGTTCATTTCAAAAACATTTTGAGAACACACAAAAAAAAAATCCGCCCCCGACCGCCAAATCCTGGCTCCGCCCCTGGCGGCGGATCTAGGTTGGGCAAACCCGGTCCCCGGCCCAGCCCTCCTTTGGATTCAGAGTTAATACAGTGCTTATAAATTTACGATGTTGGGTATTCGGCCTAGTGATATTTAAAAGTCGATCGAGTGTTATTTGATAATAGAATTTTGTGTAACTAGGAAAATTGTCTAGATAAACATATCCAAACCACTACTCTAAATTTAGCTTAGAAATTCTAGCCCGAATGATTTTCTTTTAAAAAAAAAATTGAAAGCCTGGAACTTGGAAGACTAAGTATAAAGTTTCATTGGAATAAAAAAAATTCAATACTAATTATTAGTCAAACCATTTTTGCATTTTTAAATATTAGCCAGACCTTTCGAAATACAAAATATTAGCCAATTTTTTTGTAATGTTTGAAAATATTAGCTATTTTCTGTTCATAATTTGTTAACAATTTTCTTGTTTAAAATACTAAAGTTTTGGAATGTTGGCCTTCACGCGTCTCTTCCAAGTCAGTATAATGTTCCTGAGTAAATAATACTAACAAAACTACTAACTGGAAGTTAATATTTGGCTAGTATTTTGAAAAGGTTTGGTTAATATTTAAATATGCAGAAAATGTTTTATTAATAATTAGTATTTGTCCTAAAAACCCCCTCTTAACTAAAGTCCATCCATCCCTGTCAAATATGAGAGAAAGTATGCTATTGGTATGGATGAAGATTCTATTATTAATGGATTTGCCAAAGTAAAAGACATTTTAGTAGAATTGGGATTGTAATGAATGGAAACTATAGTTATTATATTTTATTTTTTCATGATATCTAATATTTAATTCAAATGCGGCCCAATTCTCTACTATGTCCTGAATCCACCGCTATCACAAGTTGATAGTCTATTGTATAAAAGGTAGTCGTTTCTCCTAAAAAGGCAAGTAATTCCACTAACAAAAGGATAAGCCCATTTCATTTTGTATGATGGTATCACTAAATTGTCGGAATATGAATCAAATTGGGAACAATTTGTGAACGATAACCTTTGTTTGACCAACCATTGATAGCCAAACATTAGATGTTGAGTGCAAATGACCACTTTAGGAATGTAAATTCTTTTAGACTAACCTGACCTCTTTGCGAAAAAAGCAAACTAGAGGGATCTGAATCTCAATGACCACACAACAACAATTCTTAGTAATACTTTGGGAAGGAAATGGAAGGAAGGAAGGAAGGAAGAGTAGAATCACAGCAAAGTGTGGTGGCGAAATCAAGTGGGAGTGTGCAGAATGCAGACTAGTGTGAGGTGTCAGGACTGCCAACTCATCGCAAAGGAAAAACACAATCTTTGACCGCTTTTTGCGGGATTCCTATCGTATTCGTATCTTGTTCATGTGTATAGGGTTTTGCTTTGCTGACGCTCTCCATTGCTCCCTCCGTATTTCCTCCACCCGACCCTCATCCAAAATTTCCCACCCTCAATTTATTCTTTATTTACTAGAATAATGTTCGCCTATGCTTTTCCTTTTGTTTTGGTTGATCGAATGTTCTCTGCCTTTTTATCCACACGTCAAATCCATTGTTATTTATTTATTATAATAATTATTATCAATTTTTTATTATAATAATTATTAATGTGGACGTAATTCGGATGGTCACTGACTCACGGTTAGATTGGACACGAATTTCCTATAGGATGACTCGTTTTAATTAAACCAATTTGATATTTCAGTTCCGCATAAGTTTAATCACCATGCTGACATTTTGGTCATAAATTGGGCTTCGAGTTTCGAGGTTGCTCGACTAATGATTTTTTTTCCTAGTAATTGACTAATGATTATTACTATTTAAACATTACTATCTTAATTTTTTTGTGTTAAAGTATATTTATTAATATTTATGATCGTTATATATAGTTTTTATTTTTATTATTTTGAGATAATCTTGTATAAATTTGTTGAACCTATTTTATAATAATATAATTTATTCACCTTTCACTCTATCTGCACTCTCCTATTATTTCATTTCAAAAAACAATTTGTCTCAATACTTACGCCCCCACCAATTTATAAACCCTATAATTTCCCCTTAAGCTTGCACCCTATTTTATTTACACTCCCCTAATTGCCAAACCTTGTGTTAGGAGGATCATAATTCATAAGTACAAAAATGATATAAGCTTCTTGTGAATGAATCTGGAGCTTAGAGTGTGAGAGGTAGGAAAGATCAAAGAAGGGAAGGGCGTGTGTTTAGTTTGGTTTGGTTTGCTAGCTGGCTCAGCGTGTGTATCTTTTTGCGCCAAGTTGGATGTACTCGTTTTTATCTTCCCTCCCAACTGCCTGTGCGAGCGTGTATATCTCATTCTCATCCCCCTGATGTAATTATTCTTCCTACCAAAGAAAGCAAAATAAAATACAATGCTCCATAATTATCAGAACCACCCATTCACTCGTTTTTGTTGCGTGAACAGAAAGATGACGTCATTAAATTTTTAAAATGTCACGAATGATGTTTGAATGAGGGTACATTGATTAAGATTGTTGAATTCAGGTGAAGTTTTGTTCGTCACATGGGAGAGGTCCATAACTATAACTATTTATTTATTAAGAAAAACAACTATAACTCGTGTACAAATTTTTTTTATTCTGATTTGACTCCAACGATCGCAAGCCATGACGAAAAACGATATTACATTTGTCAAGTTTTTTGACTAGGATTTTGAATGTTCATTTCCTAGATATGGTATTCACTTAAGATATTATAGGTTGTGTTGATGCAACCGTCATCCCATATTTTCAACTCGTGCAAAAATTTCATGTGTTTGGCACCGCTTTGACTTGTAACTGTTCAGAAATCTACATCTTCTCATCGTATATGGTAAGCATGCATCAAGTTAGACATTTGTAGTTTCACGTTTTAATCGTTCAAGATGAAGAAATTCGTAGTTAGATATATGTTGAGTATAATAAATGGTTTTGTTGAAAGTCAAAAAGCAATTGCACATATAGTTTAGTGGTATCATAGTACCCCCTCACGGTACTGACCATGGTTCGATTTCTAGGATGTGCATCCTTTAATTTTTATTATATAATTTAGGGTTACATTTATCATTTTTCGCAGATAATTACATTTATCTTTTTTCAGCCAATTTCTCCAGATTATGGTACATTCAAAACTTGCAAAAGATAATGTATAATGCAAACATTACGCCTTGATCTTCATTTTATACGGTTTTAAGATCATTGGCTAATCGCGCAACACTTAATCATGACCAGAGGTCGCCTAGCTTTGCCTTGGCATTATGAATACCTTATTTGCTACATGAGATTTATGCAAGGTGTTTTGTCATCGTCTAACACCTAAACGTACGTAAACTTATGCTTTTTTAACCATGAAGGTAAGGATGGATGACATATAGTTTTACCTTATACATGGAAAAGTAACCAAAATTATTTATGATTTGGGGACAAGGTCACAAGCAGTGGTGGGCCCAAGAATTTTTCATAGGGGTGTCTTCTTTTAAAAAATAAAATTTAATAAAATGTAAATAAGAAAATACCTTATTCGTACAGGTTAAGTTCATTAGGTGTTTTCATATTCTAAAATAATTGTAGAATATACTTGGTGTCTACAGTGTTAAAAAAATTGTCTCTATATACCCTACTAGATAATCATTCACGAACTTATCGTATATTCGATTTGTAAACTTGTTCTTGATGTAACCCAAAGCTGAAAGACGTACTCTTTCAAAACTTGTCGTACAACTAAGTTTTTAGAGATATATAGAGACAATTAGAGATAGGTTTGAAAAATAATTAGAGATAGGGAATGTCATTTTACTATGAACTAGTGTTCAAAATCGAACAACAAATGAGTTGTAATTTAATAAAAATTAAGTGTATTAATAATAATAATGCTCTAGGTTTGAATTACTCAACCTACCACTTATATTCCCATACATAATTTAAAAAATTAAAGTAGAATAATCATTTTTTAAAATTTTAGTGGTATCCCTCACTATCGATTATAATTTTTTTACCCATACGTAAATTACCACTGTATGTTGAATAATTATTTTCCCAAAATTTAGGGGTGTCCTGGGACACCCCTAAAGTCCCGTGCGTCCGTCCCTGGTCACAAGGATGACAATTATCATTTTTTACCCATACATAAATTACCACTGTGTGTTGAATAATTGTTTTCCCAAAATTTAGAGGTGTCCTGGAACACCCCTAAAGCCCCGTGCGTCCGCCCTGGTCACAAGGATGACAATGAGAAAGAAAAATATGGTTGACGAGATCAATAAGTAAATACTCCAAGTTTGAGGACCAACTTGGCATATGATCATTGTTTCAGCTAATATTAACTACGAAAATAATAATAAAATTCCCAAAATCAATAGTTTCCATTGATTTTCCATAACATTCCGCCGAGTTCTATAATAACGAAAAACTAACAAAAGTCGGTTGCTAAATTTCCAAGTCCCCATAAAATATAACCTACGGAGAAATTCAGCCCCCAATTTTTTTTATTTTATTAGGCAAACCTAACAAACTTATTTTCCTCCTCGTTCTTAAAAGTACGGCAGCTATTGAATTGGAATCGGAAATTTTTTGAGTCAAAACGAGACATTAAAAAAACTAAAACAGAAAAAGGAAAAAAGCAGATAACGCCGTGTATGACAACTCAATAATTCGCACTCCGGTTTTCCCTTTTTGACCCTTCCGTTTCCTTTCCCTCTTTCCTGATTCCCCAAACGTGTCCTCCACATGCTTTCCCCTTTTCCTCTTCCCCTCTATTTATTCCCCAAAACCATTCCAACCCAAACCAGCAGAGAAGCAACCAAAAGGAAAGAGAGAGAAAAAAACTCCCCAGAAGCGAAATCGGAAAACCAATCGAGAATACTACAATCGCCGCCGCGTGAAATGGCCGACAGACAGAGGAACGGCAGCAGTAAGATCTCTTCTTCTTCTTCTTCTTCCGGCGCCGGCCAGCCGAGCCGGCTCCAGCGGCGGAGGCCGGCGTCGTTGCAGATCAGCCCGGCGTCTTCCTCCTTCTGGAGCGCAGCCATCCCTCTCCTCTCCCCGCTCGACACCTCCCCGACCGCCGTGGATCGGAAGTTCGAGATGTCGGCGAATCAGCAGCAGAGTCAGAGTCATAACCAGCAGAGAGTCGGCGGCGGGGAGGCGGAGAAGGCATCCGTGTTCAAGAAATGGCAGCACCCGGCGGCGCCCTTCTGTTACGAGGCGGCCAAGTTGAAGCCGTCGTTCTTCGTCCCTGTATAGCCTTGTTACTATTATATATTATTGTGATTAGAGATTGGCGATTGGGGGAAAAAAAATGGGAGAGTGAAAGGACAGATTAGATTTGTACACAGGTTGAGGGGGGATTTACTACAATTAGGGTTTTCAGATCTGACCTAATGATACTTTTTTTTTCTTTCCTTCTTCCCTTGGTTTCAGCAGAGAATGAATTGTACACAGATTTTTTTGGGCGAAATGATATTGTTCATACAAATTTGATCCTAGTTCCCGGCCCGACCCGACCCGTACTAACCAACCACTTCGCTTTCTTTGACCATTTGTGGCTGATGTTTTACTGTGACTGTGATTGGGTAGAATTTGGGTGGTTGGTTTGGTGAACGGTTGCTTTCATGTAATTTAATTTGGGTTGTGGGTAGGAAAAAATTTGTGGGATGTTGAAATTGCTGACCAGGAAGGGAGGAGTTCTTGTCTGTCGGCTTCTCGGTCTTACTTGCCGATTGCCATCTTCTTCACGTTATTTACTTACCCTCAAACGGACCTAATCTGTGGGTACACAACAAATACTACACCGTTTCCCCTACGATTTGGGTTTGTTTTCTCAAAAATTAATTATTTTTCAATACACGAACTCCATGATTCAATCCATTTGATCGAAATCTGCAAGTTGGGAATATTTTTACAAATGGCGGCTAAGAATATTTTTTATGCTTTTGCTAGTGTAGTTAGCAGCTTTAAGTGGAGGATACGCACACTGTGGTAGTCAAATTGAACCTTTGAATAGTAGCGCCCAGCTATCAATTAATCATATTTTCCCCACTTATCTCTTATGGTTTTGCGTAGAGGAGAATCGGGATGTGGTGTGTGTGGCCAAAAAAACGACACCGACAGCGACAAAGGGGAAGCATTGGGTGGATGGTCTGGCGGATGGATCTCTTATCTCTTTTGAATGGTCAGACGCCGCACCTCACACTCGCAGGATAAACAAACAATCAGACACCCACCATTTTCTGTTCTGTTTGCCTCTCTCTACAGTCCACAGTTTGGTTGTCAAACTCCTAACATCTCCTTTTAATTAACTAGATTCAGAGCCCGCCCGTTGGTCGGATGAATTTCAATAACAGTATAAATGACCATAGTAACTATCCGAAGCAAAACATATTTTATTACGTACCATAAAAAAATTTACGATACAAATATGAAAGTGTATCTTTAACATTATGGCACAATTTGCACATATATATTTTTCGTACAAATTGCTTTATGATACAAACTAAACTTATAATTTTTACGCTATGACACAAATTCAAATGGAATGTGCAAACTCCAATACAGTATAGTAAATAAGCTCATACATAACATGTTAATTAAAAAGGAATTTCCTTTTTTAGTTGGAGTCAAGGTTGTCAAACCGGTTTCTACCAGTGTGCAAGTTTAGCAAGTGAAATGGTTCGACCGGTGGTACAACCAGTTTGTGTTGGTCCATGTCGGTTAACAAAATATGTAGAAATGTGAAAAACCATTAACATGAAATGAATTTCATCACATATGAAATCATATTTGAATAATTTATTTATAATTCATCTTGATGTTTACATTCCAAATGAAATTACAAATGCTCATATTTAAATATAACAGTTAACGTTAATATCTAAACGTTTATATTTGAATTCAACAAATAACATCAACATTAAAATTCTAAACTCATAAAATAAATGACAAATTAATTTTTTTATTAATTAAATTCACTAAAACAATGTTATTTGTTTAAAAATCATAAATTGATCATGCCGGTCACATCGGTGGTGTTCACGCTAGTTTCATTACTGCCATCGGTTGAAACTAACAACTATGGTCCAAATTTGTTGTTAATAAATTAATTGAGTATTTTATGCCCACCAAAATTACCAACTTTCCCTTACTATGCGAATAGGTTAAATCTGACGCAACGTCCAATAAGAGCCCAACCCAATAAATACATAGTAGCAATAGTTATTAAAAAAAGAAAGGTTTTCACCACAAAAAAGGGAAAATACTTTCATAGCCTTCCGTGAGCTGCGGAGAGGCCTCCAAATTTGGTTTTAATGCACTCCCTTTGGAGAATCTCTTTAAATGGATGTGTAGATAGATAGATAGATGTAGATAGTATATTTGACATTACAAGAACTTAAACCGAATAATAAACAATCGTTTATGTTTTTAAGGGAGGGCACAATTAGGGCAACAAATCAGTCAAATCGTTCACGAGCCATTTGGCGTTCGGTTAGTAAAAATTGGTTTAGCACTTGGTTCATTTACTATCGAGTCGAGTTTCAATTAACCCTTCTTCAGTTTATAAGATTCATGAGTCTGCTCTGTCGGTGGCTTGTTGACCACAACTCGTGAGCCAGCTCGTTTTGAGTGTATGAGATGGCTCGACAGTATAGCTAGCAAGTCACAACAACTAGCAACTTATGAGCGAATCGATTATTAGTTTACAGTTGACTTGTTGATAATTCATATTTTTATTAGATTATATATCTCACGATTTATGATGTTTAAGAATTTGAGCACGTGAAATAGTCGTTTATAATTTTAAAGACAAATTATGTTTTATAGATTGCTTAGGTCTTTATTATTATTTAATAACACTATATTAAAAATTATAAATTATAAAATAAATGATATAATACATGAGTTCGAGTCGATCTCGCAAGCTAATTGATGAGACGAGCTCAAGAGTAGAGCTTGTCATGAACTCATTAATGAGTCTAGCTCGAATCAAACACAAGCCAACATTTTAGTAAACAAGTCAAGTTCGAACTCAACTAGTTGATTAACGAGCTTATCTCAAACTAGATCAAAACTAGACTCGATTCGACTTGACTCATTTTCAACATGGGGACAATTATCTGAATTTTATTGCTGAACCAAGTGTTTGGAATCACTACATAGAGGGGCATTTAACATAAACAGTCACAAATCTTTGATCTTTGTACATGACTATCATAAGAGTTTACCTTGTAACAACATGGTAACAAAAGTTTGAACTTGTATTGTATGGAATGGTCTTTTCTATTAATCTCCATCCAAATTTTAGTGAAATTTCCCCGTCAGCATCCACTTCATTAACAAAACTCATAAGGAAACAAACAAAACTAACCCAAATCTAAACCAACCCAGCACCCAGAACCAACCAGACACGACCCTAACTTGCACCCTCCTACTTTTTCTCCCAAACAACAATTTACACCCCAACTTACTTCCCCCTTAAATCTACTCCCTCTACAATTTACACCGCTCTCAAATTTCCACCCCCTAGTTGCCAAACAAAGCGTAAGCTACCACCTCCAGTTTACCATTGTTATCTGGGGATAAAGGGAAGAACAATAAACGTGGAAACATTTGATTGTTTGTGGGTGTGAGTGGGGAGAAGGGAATCGTTGAAGCCGAAACAGTTTATCCAAGGAACACACAGTCGAGTCGTCAAATCTATCCTCCAACTTCATTACTTCCAATCCAAGCTCCTCGCTGAACAATGGCAACTGTCACGTGCAAAAACCCAAAGACCATACAACCCTTCCAGCTTTCTCCTCCATTCAATGCTCAATTTCCACAATGTTTGCCATTCTTGATCTCTGGTGGGCATTGAAACAATACACAATAACTGGGGGTGTTGAGTATTTATGCATTAGAAGACTTCAAGGAGTACGACCCTAGGACATCCTAGGAATTTTATCTCTTGCTTGTTTACTACGCATTAGTAACTGTGTATCAAATTGATCAAAATCTGTTATAAACGCGCTGCTACAAATCGGGAAATCGCCGGAATCGATAAAGCAAGAATACAAAAGCGACGTGGTTCACTAACACGATGTGTGTTAGCTACGTCCACGGGTGAGAGAGAGCCAGTTTCACTATATCGAGGATATTACATATTACAGAGGAGTAGGGCTGCTAACCGGTACGGTATCCGGTTTACCGTTTACCGTTTTACCGGTTTCGGTAATACCGAGAGTACCAAAATACCTGCCGGAAGCCGTTGCCGACCTGGACGCGGTAAGCCGTTTACCGTTGGGCTACGGTATCGGTAAGGGAGCGGTGTCCCGAATTTACCGACCGAGAAAGGCGGCCAGTCCCTGTCCGGCTGTCCGTGTCCGCTGTCCTGTCCCCCAAGCACATGTCGGCTCATCGGCTGTAGGCTGTAGGCTCGTAGCTGCTGGCCTGTCTGTCAGTCCCCTCCGCTCCGTCCAATATCAATATGAATATATGATATTAGAAAATGGCAAAAGGGCAAAGGCAATAATGCAATATCATCATTCATCATCATTAGTTCATGCATCACCATGCAAGTGAATTAGAAAAGGGGCAACGACAGGGACGCTTGCCGGAGACGACAGGGACGCTAGCGACGGAGACGACAGGGTTCGACGGCGACGACTGGCTTCGACGGAAACAAAGCAACGTGCCCCTTTCTGCTGCTGTCGCCTGTCGTCGTGCACTCGTGCCCCTGGGTGGATGCGTGGAGGTTGACTTCGATGAACGGAGGAGGAGGGATCGGAAGACGGCGGTCGTGGACGGTGCAGCCGTGCAGCAGTCACTCAGACGCAGGGGATGCAATCGATTAGATAGAGTAGAGATCGTTCGTCGTAGCTCGTAGGGATTTTTTAGTTTTTACTTTCTAGCCTTCTAGGGTTGCCTTGCTGCCGACGCCCAACGTTTGATTATTATTGGTCCTGGGAAGTTGCCTGCTGGGCGTTTGAATTTTTTTGGTTTCTTAGTCGGTGTCGGATTACCGATCCGCTGACGGTAATATGCTCCATCGGTAACGGCATACCGCCACCAAACACTTCCCCATCCGAATACCTTTGTGTTCGGTAACCGGTTTAACCGGTAACCGTCGGTTACCGGTACGGTTACCGGTTAAACCGGCTACCGCAAAACCGGTTAGCAGCCCTACAGAGGAGTATGAGAAGTATTTATAGTACTTCTCCATGTGGGTCTAAACCTAATCCAATCTGGCAAATGAAACGGTTATAGACCAGGCCCAGAACCCGAACCCAAATAACAGCTAGACCCTCGACTACCAGTCGTAGCGGCTGATAGTCCGATTCAAGTCACATCAACAAATCTCCACCTTGACTTGAATCCTCTTCCTCTGAAATCTCTGATGTACTCTGCTCCTTCTCTCTCTCTCTCTCTCTCTCTCTCTCTCCATCAATGCCCCGCAGAGCGGAGTCACCCACTCAAGACATTCAGCAAGTCCAAGCAGTGTTGGAACTTGCCATGTGGAACTGGCTTCGTGAACATATCAGCAGGATTATCCGCGGTGCCAACCTTCTTCACCTTAATCCTCTTCTTTGTACTCAAGAAATGATACCTCACGTCGATGTGCTTAGTCCTCTCATGGTGGACTTGATCCTTGGCCAAGCATATTGCACTCAAACTGTCGCAATACACTACTGCCTGATCATGATGTAGACCCAGATCACCAACCAGTCCCTTTAACCATATTCCTTCCTTAGCAGCTTCTGTCAACGCCATATACTCTGCCTCAGTAGTAGACAATGTCACCGCCAACTACAAAGTTGCCTTCCAGCTCACTACAGAACTCCCAAGAGTGAATACATAACCGGTCATCGATCTCCTCGTGTCAACATCTCCAGCATAGTTCGAGTCCTAATACCCAGACACCAAGCACTCTGTATCACTTCCAAAGCTAATCCCTATATCAGGTGTACCCTTAAGGTACCGGAAGATCCTCTTCACAGCCTGCCAATGCTCCTTCCCAGGTTGTATCATAAACCTGCTGACAACACTAACAGCATGTGCAAGATCAGGTCTAGTGCATACCATAGCGTACATCAAGCTACCTACTGCACTAGCATATGGGACTCTCGACATGTACTCCTTCTCAGCCTCTGACTGTGGTGCATAAGCTGAGGATAGATGAAAATTTGAAGCACTAGGAGTATTTAAGGGCTTTGCTGAAGACATGCCAAACCTCGACAGTATCTTCTGGATGTAGCTCTTCTGTGACAAGAAAAGCTTCTTCTTCGACCTGTCCCTGTAAATCTCTATACCCAAGATCTTCTGAGCAGCTCCCAAATCCTTCATCTCAAACTCAGCACTGAGAAGCCTCTTTAACTTCTGGATATCAGACTTCGACCTCGCGGCTATGAGCATATCATCCACATACAGAACAAGATAGATCATCGAACCATCATCCACCTTGTTGTGATACACACAACAATCGTATGGACTTCTGTTGTAGCCCAGCTCAAGCATGTAACTGTCAAATCTCTTGTACCGCTGTCTCGGAGATTGCTTAAGTCCATACAAGGACTTCTTCAGCTTACAAACATAGTCTTCTTTTCCCGGAACCTCGAATCCTTCTGGATGAGTCATGTAAATTTCTTCCACCAACTCTCCATGTAGGAAAGATGTCTTCACTTCTAGCTGCTCGAGCTCCAAGTCATAATGTGCCACTATTGTTAGTAGCACTCTGATCGAAGTATGTCTGACCATTGGTGAGAAAATCTCATTGTAGTCAACTCGTTCCCTCTGCGAGAAGCCACGTGCAACCACCCGAGCTTTAAATTTCATGCCTTCTTTAGAAGTGATTCCTTCCTTCTTCTTGTAGATCCACTTGTTTGTAACAATCTTCCTTCCCTGTGGTCGTTTGACTAGCTCCCAAGTCTGATTCCTGTCATGGGATTCCATCTCATCTCCCATTGCGGCAAGCCACTGATTAGCTTCGCCACCTGAAACGGCTTCTCTATAGGATAGTGGCTCACCTGCATCCACTTCTTCAGCAACCTGAAATGAATACGCCACCATGTCCTCGAAACCATACCTCTCTGTAGATACTCCTGCAGTCGCTCTCTTTGGTCTACCGGAAGCTATAGACTGTTGAGCTCCTGCACTGGACTTTGAAGTTTCTGGCTCTATAGAAACATCCTCATGTTGATCTTCTCCACCTTGGTGCTCAAACTCACTCTCATTGAGAGTTTGCAGCTCCACCTGCTTATCAACATTCCTGCTACCTTCAACAACAGTAACCTTCAACATGGGGTTAAACAACGACTTCTCATCAAATATCACATTTCTACCGAGTATAACTCGATGCTCAGAAGGTGACCAGACTCGAAATCCCTTAACTCCATCTCCGTAACCCACAAATACACCCTTCTTTGCCCTTGGGTTCAGTTTACCCTCATCCACATGATAATAAACAGGACACCCAAAAACTTTCAGTGAAGAGTAATAAGCAGGCTTACCATACCACACCTCATAAGGAGTCTTCAACTCGATACCTGTGTGAGGTCCACAGTTGATTAGGAAGCACGCCATGTTCACTACTTCTGCCCAGAATCTTCTTTCTAGTCTAGCATTAGAGAGCATGCATCGTGCTCTCTCCAACAATGTCTGGTTCATCGTTTCTGCAACGCCATTCTGCTGGGGTGTATCTCTCACAGTCCGATGAAGGGAAATCCCTTCATCCTTGCAGAATTCGTTGAACTCAGAATTACAGAACTCCAGACCATTGTCCGTTCGCAGCTTCTTGATCTTTTTCCCGGTCTGATTCTCCACCAATGTCTTCCACTACTTGAACTTCGTGAAAGCCTCACTTTTCTGCTTCATCATGAAAATCCAAGTAAATCTCGAATAACAGTGAAAGCCTCACTTTTCTGCATCAATAATAGACAGAAAATACCTGCTGCCTCCAATGGATTCAACTCGTGAAGGACCCCAACAGTCGGAGTGGAGGTAATCTAGTATCCCCTTTGTCCGGTGAATACCCTTCTTGGGAAACTTGCTGCGATGTAGCTTCCCTAACACACAATGCTCACAGAATTCCAAATTCTGCACCTTGTGCCCGCAAAGAAGATCCCTCTTCGACAGAACTTGCATCCCCCGTTCACTCATATGCCCCAATCTCATATGCCAGAGAGTGGTCATATCTTCCTGATGAACCTGAGATGATGCAACTGCAGCAGAACCAGACAACACAGACCCTTGTAATGCATACAAGGTCCCACGCTTCACGCCCTTCAGCACCTTCCTTGAACATTTGCAGACATACACAACTCCACCTTTTCCTTTGAAACTGAAACCCTTGCTGTCGAGTAGACTCAAGGAGATCAGGTTCTTTGTCATTCGTGGAACATGCCTGACATCATTCACGGTACAGAATGAACCATCATGTGCCCGAACCTTTATGGACCCAATTCCAACAACCTTGCAGACAGCTCCATTTGCCATGACCACGTTCCCACCGTCTATCTGCTCGTAGGTTGTGAAGCAATCCCTGTTCGGAGACATATGGTATGAGGCTGCAGTATCCAGAAACCACACATCCCCACGATGTGCCTTCTCATCTACAGCCAATGCGAGATCGTCTTCAGAACTGTTGTCCACTTCTGCCACGACAACTGAACCTTGTTTCTTCTGTTGCCCTCTTCTCTTGGGACAGTTGTACTTCCAATGTCCCACTTCCTTACAGTTGTGACAAGCATCACCTGGATGTGGACCAGGACCCTTGGAATTCTTGTTCGAATTCTCTTTACCAGATTTCTTCTTTCCCTTTCCACCTGTAACAGCCAAACCCGATGCCTCACCACCTGTACCAGATCCGGACGCCTTATGTCTGATCTCTCTCGTATGAAGAGCAGACCTGACATCTTCCAACGACACGCTTTCTTTACCAGCAATAAAAGAATCAATGAAATTCTCATATGAACTCGGCAAAGAAACCAGCAGGATTAGGGCAACATCCTCGTCATCAACTTGAACATCTATATTACGCAGATCCAGCAAAATAGAGTTAAGCTGTTCGAGATGTTCCCTCAAAGGCGTACCTTCTTGCATCCTCAAGCAGTCAAGCTGAACAACTGTTACTTGAGATGCAGCTTGTTGGTTAAGGACTTCGTCATATACAAACTCTCCAACTTTAACCACAAGCCCACGACAGTCTTCTCAGCAGCGACTTCAATGATGACGTCATCAGACAAAGATAGCATGATGGTTGAGTGAGCCTTCTCCTCCAGGGTATTCCACTCATCGTCATCGACCGCTGCTTTCTTCTGTTTCGCAGATAGCGGCCCCCACAACCCTTGCTGTTTTAATAAAGCCTGCATCTTGATCTGCCATATAGAGAAGCTGTTCTTCCCCGTGAACTTTTCGATCTTCATGTTCACCGATGTCATTCTTCTGAATCGAAAACCATAGCCCGATTTCCAGCCGCGGCTCTGATACCACTTGTTATAAACGCGCTGCTACGGATCGGGAAATTGTCGGAATCGATAAAGCAAGAATACGAAAGCGAGAATCGAAAAAACACAGACACACGATTTACGTGGTTCACTAACATGATGTGTGTTAGCTACGTCCACGGGCAAGAGAGAGCCAGTTTCACTATATCGAGGAGATTACAGATTACAAAGGAGTATGAGAAGTATTTATAGTGCTTCTCCATGTGGGTCTAAACCTAATCCAATATGGCAAAGGAAACGGTTACAGACCAGGCCCAGAACCTGAACCCAAATAACAGCGAGACCCCCGACTACCAGTCGTAGCGGCTGATAGTCCGATTCAAGTCACATCAACAAAATCCAACTTCGAGAGGATCAAACTATAACCTATACCATGATGTCCAAA